AGGGGGCGGGGCTGGACCGACTTGCGGGCGGGTCACCAGGGTTAGGGCGGGGGTGGCTGGGGCATGGCAGCCTTTTCTTTCTCTTTGTCACATTTCGAAGAACGCCGCCCTCCACCCCGTAGCCCCCGGCGCGCATGCGTGAACTGGGACCGCATTCAATTTTTTCGCGCCACGTGGCACGTGGCACGTTTAAAAGCGATTGAACGCGGCACCGGCGTTTGAACGCGAACGCGCGCTCAGCGCGTCTGGAAACCAAATGGGCAACTTAGTGCTAAGCTCACAGGACTTTGGCACCAACAACAACATTTACAGATACTCCAACAGGCTATACCCCGGTCATGGGCTGTAAATCTGATTGGCGGCCGTCGAAAAGGTCGGGGGCCCACCCAAGGCCCGCTATTTTCCCACGCGGTAAAGGTACTAGTGGTCATCCATTCCAAAGGCCCAAAAACAAAAAAAAAACAAATATATGGACTTCTGAGCAGGACCAGATGCATTCACAAATCTTGGCGGATGGAGAGGAGGCCGAGTTGCACTGAGCCACTGGCCATTCGCCAAGATTTTGAATGCATCTGGACCTGTAGAGTAGTGCTCATCCATTCTAAATGTTGGCGTCGGACCAAGACCTGATTTTGAATGCATCTGGACCTGTAGAATAGTCTTCATCCATTCAAAATGCTCCCTGTCTATGCCTTCATTAAAAATGCCATAATTGAAGAAAAAAACAGCATGCACATGTGACACACAGATGAGGCCTCGCTGCACTACTCTCTACATGCACAAAAGACAAAAATATTGGCCGTGTATCTTTCCATATTCTAGCGGAAGATTCACTCTCGTTTTGCACACTTCGAGAGTAGTGCAGCGATGGCCATATGCATTTTAAATCCTTTCCCGTCGCCTGTCGGCCGGTAGTATGTCACAGGTGTCGGGATCCCGTTCGGACATGACAACTCAGTGAAGGTCCAGAGAACGTATGTGACAATCATGTGCTCTTACGGCCTCAGGGCACCACTCACCAAGGGCCT